TGAGCAACTTTGGGTTGAGACTAACTTGTGGAGTGGAGTGCCTTTGGGCAATTATTGGCAGAGCTAAAATTGTTCTGGGACGTTTACCTGACTAAGGTAGACGCCAAGGTGCTGGGGGGAGGCTGTGGGTCTAGGTGTGCCTGCAGCCAGTGCTGAGAAGAGGGTATGCTGGACAGAGAATTGTATCCTCACTATTTTTGATCCCAATTGTCACCTCTACTTCCTTGTAATACACCTGATACCAGTGAGTGTGGTCTCTGCGGTGGTTATAATGGAATATCCAGTTATCCAGCAGACCAGTTGAGGGCCCCGTGGGCGGGACAATGGGGTCAGTACAGATGTTGAGAGGTTGGCGGCCTGTCTGACCTCCGTGCAGCTCGTAGGTGGGTGGGTGCTGCTGGTGGTGACTTTCCTTCGCCCCTCTTAGGAAGTTAGAGGCGATGCAGCGCCCACCCCATTGTTCAGGAATCCGCCGGAAGGCAGCGGCACAGATGGACGGCCCGCTGACTTTAAGAGGACCATGATGTAAAGCCAGATTGCCCCGTGACTGGTACCGCGATCGCAGGTTGTGGTTTCATGTTTCCTAGCAGTGCCAAGTAGAATACCCGGGAAACTGAGGCTAGCCAAGCCGGGAGCAGCAAGACAAGGCCAAACGCCAGGGGAGGACGACCCGGCCAGCGCGGGAACTCCACAAAGGACCAGACGGCCAAGCTACCTCAAATGAGCCAATCAGTGGACTGACAGGGGGTGGGGGGAAAGGGGGAGCTGGGAACGCCCCGTTATGTACCTCACAGATATATACGTAAGAATTTCTTTTGTTCAGGGCCCTAGCCCAAGACAGTGCGTGGTTAAGCCCCTGAGGGCTGGAGCCCTGGCTTAAGCTAGCATCATAAAGGCCCCTCTGTAGAGCAGCCTTGTGTTTGATCTCCTTCCACTGAAAGGGAAATCGCTCCAGGTCCCTACCAATGAGTGTGACACGGAAAATGGATGGGAGGACCGAGGGTGGAGACGAGGCAGGAGGCCCAGGAGGAGGCCACAGCTCAGATCCGGAGACGTGAGCACTGCATGGATGGCGGTGCCTGCTGTGCAGATGGATCAGAGGGCGATCTCATACCCAGTGTGACTTCCAATTTCTGGTAGAAATAGTGGATGCATGCAGGTGACCGCTAGATGGGAAGCTGCCGGAAGAGGGGCTCGTGGTGAGACCTGGTGCTCCAAGGTCTTCTTCTGGGCGGCATGGGAGCTGCTGCCAGTCTTTAGGCAGGGAGAGCCACGGTAGTGCAGGTGATTGGTGATATGACAAAATACCCATTTATAAACTATCAAGGGCTCATGCGGGAGGGGGGAGCGGGGAGGGAGGGGAAAAATGAGGACCTAATGTCGGGGGTTTCAATGGAGAGAAAATGTTTTGAGAAACGATGTACAAATGCGCTTTACACAATTGATGTGTGTATGGATTGGGATAACAGTTGTATGAGCCCCTAATAAAATGTTAAAAAAAAAAAAGAAAATATCATAATACATTATAATGGCTACATGATCTGTTGCTAGAATATATTTATTATTGTGAAATGACAAATATGAAGTATCGGTAGCATGTTGCTCAGTCAGAAAGGCCGGGCTGTGGTCCTGAAAACTGTGGCTGGACCCAGTGTACACTCCTTGGTGGCCAGATTATGGGGAGATCCTGGGTTACCTGTGGGCCCCAAAATGAAATGAAATGAAACCAAATCAAGCAAAGCAAAGTAAAACAAAATAAAAGGCATTAAAAATAGAATAAAATATGATAAAGAAAAGCAATCACCAATGAACAGTGAAAGACACAAAACAACAACAATAATATACAATTGATTGATCAAGGACTCACAAGGGTGGGAGGGTGGGGGAGGGAGGAGCAAAAAGAGGAGCTGATACCAAGGGCTCAGTAGAAAGAAAATGTTTTGGAAATGTGGATGGCAACCTAGGTCCTAGTGTGCTGAATATAATTGAATGATGGCTTGGTATAAGATTTGTAAGAGCCCCCCAATAAAATGATTACATAACAATAAAAAGTGAAGCAATCCCAAGACCTGCTCAAAGACTCGGGCTGGGCTCTCTTTCCCACATGGCATTGAACCGTTCACGTCAGGAGCCTGTAGAGACAGACTTCTGCTTAAAGCACAAACTGACCAACCCAGAGAATCTCAGCTGACCCGAAGCCTCTCGGTTCCCTTCCAGTCGGCTGTGACTGGGGATGACCCTGGTGTTGCAGACTGGGACTGTCTCCACAGGGTTTGAAGGCTGTGAGCTTCAGGAAGCTGCTTGCCAGGATGCCTTCCAAGGGTCTTGGGGTTGCTTTGAACTGCTAGCCTTTCCGTTAGGAGTTGAATACGTAAACAGTTTTGCTCTCCAAAGGCTCCTGCAGCCCTGGGTGCTGGAACACCATCGTGTAGAACTGAGTATTAGCCTTGGCTGTGTACACACGCCATCCGTACCTTCCAGGGCGAGAAGCAAGCTTGTCCGTGGGAGGTCCTGAACACAGGGTCCCTGGGTCTGTGTCGCTGTGTGACCCTCCTTGCCTTCTCTGACCACCCTGCTTCCGTCATCTGTAACAACAGAGAGCAATGTCCAGAGGGCAGGGCCCAGGCTCCCTGGGCTGTGCTGTGAGCTTTCACTTTGAGGCTGTGGAGAGGCAGCGAGGGAGGTGGCTCTTCTGTCTGGGAGCGCTCTGTGGGGACCCCTTCACTGGGGTCTCGGCAGATACCTCTGCAACCTGGAGTGACACTGCTCTCGGGGCTCTCCTGGGAACCATCTGTCTCTCAGAAATGGGGCGCCCTGGATCCGCAGTGTCTGACCAGACACAAGGACGGGGGCTCCCGGAGCAGCTCACTGCGATCGCAAACTCTGAGGGCAGCCGTGCAGTCTGTGGAGGCCCTCAGCGGCACCTAAGCTTCTGAAGCTGTTGCATTTGGGGACACTCCGGGAGAAGAACCTTTCAGGCCCGGAAACTGGAGAAGCAGGTGAGTTGCCTGTGCTGCTGCCTGTGGGCCAGGGGCTGAAGGCGTGTGTGTGTGTGTGTGTGTGTGTGTGTGTGTGTGTGTGTCTGGTCCACCTAGTCTGTCTCGAGGAAGAATGGGGACAGCATGGCGTCTTGACCTTCTTCATGTGTTGGATAGATGCTTATGTAGCCATGACGAGGACCAGGCTTTACTTGTAGAGATTTTACAAATATCAATGCATTGAATCCTCATGACAACCCCTAAGAGGGTTGAGGGCAATGCTGAGACTTTCCCCGTTTCGTAACTGAGGAAACCAAGACAGACAAGGCCAAGGTTCACGGTCACGGGGTGGATTCTGACTCATAGTTGCCCAATAGGACAGGATAGCACAGTCTCTGTGGGCTTCTGAGACGATAACTCCTTTTGGGGAGTAGAAAGCCTCATCGTTCTCCCTCTGAGCCCCTGGTGGTTTTGAACTGCTGCCCTTGCGGTGAGCAGGCCCATGCATCACCACTACACCAATTCTCCTCAAACAGTCAGGTCGTGAGGGACTGAGCCTGGAGGCCGGGTCACAATCTGACCCACACACTGCCCTTCCCGCCTCCACATGCAGCCTGTCGTTTGGGGTCTTTTTAATTTCAGACTAGCATTCATTCCCCTCCCTCCCCTCAATCTCTGTCTCCAACCAGAGCCCTTGACCTCTCAGCCAGAAGTGGTGCCCCAGACACAGACTGGGCGAGGTGGAAGCAGGGAAGGCAGGGCTGGGGTTGAAGTGCAGGTGACCCTCACAAAGAAACGGACCAGAGCAGGGTGTCTGTGATGGGTGCCATGCCTCTCAGAGGATGCTCTCTACCCCTGATGCTTCTCAGGTGGCCTCCTGGCTGCAGCTTTGGGGGAAAGGACAAGGAGCAGTGGGCACTGGTATGCGCATGTGGCCTGAGACCTGTGCCAGGATACTCTAACCTGGCATATGCGGAGTGGCCTGTTCGTGGGGGGAAGGGCTCCCCAGGGCACAGGTGCTGAGGAAGGCAGTCCTGGGGTCTGGATAGTGAGGTGGCAGTGGGTGTGTTAGTGGGGTGGGAAGGGAAGGAGTGGTTTCTTCCTAACGGTTGTCTGTCATCACAATTTCCCCTCAAGGACGGAGAGGGTCCAGGCTCAGTGTTTCTCAAAATCAGGGTTGTGTGGGGCCCTGAGCATTGTAAACACGATGATGCACCAGAGACCCCGGGGGAGCAACTGGCGGGCTGCCTTCTGTCAGGTGGTCCCCACTGACTCCTGCCCCGTCACCTCCCAGCTCGGAGGAAATGGAGGGTGCCCCTGGCTGCTCTGGGCTCTGCAGCTTCGCTTCCCTGCTGCTCCTCTTCCAGCTGCCCACGTGGGGGGCCACAGGTGAGTGCTCCCCCACCTCGACCCTGTTACCCTGGGTTGGGTGGGATCCACGCATGAGCTGCTGGTTCTTTCCATCCAGATGGGTGGAGGTTCTGGGACCCCACCCCCCGCCTCCCGAGAGATTATGGTACCCCATATTAATTATAGTTAAACATTTTAAAACTTGTTAAATAATAAGGGGAGTCTAAAAAACTCTGGCAATTGCCCCATGATGACTTCTTTAGTGTTTATTAGAACAAAGTATGTGCTATTTGAACATACCTTTCCCCCTCATTTTTCTTGATTTCCTTGCTTTACTAACGTCCTAAGCACACGTGTATGCACACACGAATGAGCCTTCTTGCTCCAGTGTTCAAAGCGTGTCATGATATGTTGGGCATTGCTCTATGCACAACACAGACACAGAGTCACTGCCTTAGTAGGTCTCCATCCTAGGAAAGGGCAATCAATAGTCAATGCGCTAAAGCAAGCAAGGCTACAGTTTATCAGAGGAGACTAGTGCTGTAAGGTACTCAAGGCGAGCAGGTGTGATAGAAGCCGGGGCAGGTGTGGACCGTTCAGCAAACATGACAATCAAATGGTTAACAAACACACGCAGAGATGCTCACGCTCACTAGCTGTGTTAGACAGGGTTCTCTAGAGAGATAAAACCAAATTCCTGATAATATAATATATTTATTTATAAAGATAATTAGATATATAACGAGAAATGAACTGTTAAATCATATGCAGATAAATATACAATACAAGAAATAAACAGTTAAATTAGAAAGCACTATAAATGGCTTAGTGCAACTCACGTCCATGAGAGAAAGTTGAGAGACTAGCAGTCCTTCAAGTCTCTGTCTGATGCCAGATCTTCCTCTATTTGTAGAGAGAGCTAGGCTATGTCAGCACAGCAGCCAATCACAAGGCAGGTCACCAACCTCCAGTCCCCAGCTCCAGAGAAGTCTTAACGAGACCTCAACTTACAGCAACACAGTCCACAGGCTAGGCATCCCACAGGCAGTGTAGCCTTTAAATTGAGGCACAGAACAAGCAAGGCAGCCGTACACTGGTCTGATGATCACAGAGCGAGAGACAGGAAAGGCAAGGCTCACCAAGCCATCCATCTCTCCGCCCCCCAGTCAATCCCACCTGCATTTATCAGCCAGGCTGGCACAATAAACTATCTCACTAGCCCTCAGGGAGATGCAAAGCACAACAATGAGGAGACATCCATGGAAACCCACCAAGATGCCTAATGAAACAAACAAAAATACAAACCCTGGGAGGGTGCGGAGAGGTGGGAACTCTTCTACCCTGCAGGAGGGTTTGTAAAGATGTACAATCCTCATGGAAAGTGATGCGGAGCTATCTGAAACGACAGCAGATAGAACTATCAGGGGACTCAGTAACCCCTCTTCTCTCCGTCGATCAAAATGGAACTTATTGGTTTAGTTGTTAGGATTTTGGTCTTCTTTACATTGAGCTGTGATCCATACCGGCGGGTGTACGCATTGATCTTTATCGGCAAGTGCTTCAAGTCCTCCTGGCTCTCAGGAAACAAAATTGTGTCACCTGCACATGGCAGGTTGTTCCAAAACCTTCCTTGACTCCTCGTGAACCCCGCTTCTCTGATGACTTGCTCAGTCTACAGATCTAATAGGTGTGGTGGGAGGACGCCACCCTGGCGTGCCCCTTGCCTGATTGTAAAGCATGCAGCCTGCCCTGGTGCAGGTTGCCCAACTGCCTCTTGATCCCTGTCCTGGTTCCACATGGGCACAATGCAGCGCTCCGGATCCTCCTTCTTCTCAAGGCGATCCATCGTTTGTCATGGTCCACACAGTCGAATGCCTTAGCGTAGTCAATAAATACAAGTAAACATCTTTCTGGTTCTGTTTTCAGCCGAGATCCATCAGACATTACCAATCATATCCCTTGTTCCACCTTCTCTTCTGAATCCCGAAACTCTGACAGCTCCCTTTCAACGGACTGCTGCCACGGTTGTTGGGTGAGTTTCAGCAACACTGGCTGCGCGTGAGAACAATAACTTTGTTCTATCATTTGTGCATTCTGTTGGTCATCTTTCTTTGAAATGGGGATCAACACGGGTCTCTTCCCATCAGGTGTACAAGTAGCTATCTTCCAGATTTCCTGGCAGGGACACGTGAGTACTGCCAGGGTGTCAGCAACTTGTTGTAACATTTCATTTGGTGTTCCATCAATTCTGGGAGCCTTGTTTTTGGCTGATGCTTCAGTGCATCTTGGACATCTTCCTTCAGCACCGTTGGCTTTTGCTCATATGCTACCCCCGGAAATGGTTGAGTGCCAACTAGCTCTTCTTGGTCCAGTGACTCTGTGCATTCTTTCCATCTTCTTTGGATGCTTGCTCCATCGTTCACTATTTTGTGCACAGAATCTTCCAATATTGCAACTCGAGGCTTGACTTTTTTCTTGAGTTCTTTTCACTTAAGATGCTTGAATGTTCTTCCTATTGGGACTTTTAACTCTGTGTCTTTGCACGGTTCATTCACAGGCAGGCAGAGAGCAATGGAAGCGCATCGATGCAAATGCAATTATTTAAAATTCAACACCGTATCATAGATTCTTCCTTTTGATGCATTTTACATTCTCTTTAATTTTTATTACTCTTGTAAATGGAGGTTTTTCTCTGTTAGGGTTGTTGATGCTTTTTCGTTTGGGGGCTTATATTTTTCACGATATGAAATTCAGGCAAGATATGACAAAATACCCATTTATAAACTATCAAGGGCTCATGAGGGAGGGGGGAGCGGGGAGGGAGGGGGAAAATGAGAACCTAATGCCGGGGCTTAAGTGGAGAGGAAATGTTTTGAGAATGACGAGGG